CTTAACTGCGCATCTGCACAGGTATTTCCCGGAGGCGTGCGAAACGACGTTGAAGCCCTGCGAGAGCTAATTAGATCAGTTATCAGAGAAGAACTGAGCAGACTGCATATGCCCCAGACTTCAACTGCACTATCTGTTACGGACGTTGTTCGTGACGAACTGAGGCAAGTGATACGAGAGCCAGAGCGTGAGCTGCAGCCGGTTCGACCTATCCGAACATACTCTGAGGTTGTCAGACAACCCACGGTACACAGCGATGCAGCAGTTGCGATGGCAATGACTCCTCTCCCACCTGCGGCACGCAGCGCACCTCGTCCACGGGAACCGACAGCTACCTATCTGCCCCCAGGAGCACGTAGCACACATCACTATGTGGAGCGTAGGCCCAGGAAAAGTGACGTCTGGCGTGATCACGAGCGCAGGCCTCTGTGTTTTCATTGTGGGGAAGCGGGTCATCTGTACAGATTCTGTCCTTACTGACAGGCTGGATTAAGAGGCTTCCCGTCATATGCACCGTGCCCCCGAAACGGCGAACGACCAGCGGAGATGGAGGAGTACTTGTCGACGCGCCAGAACTCGCCAACTCTACGCCAACACCGGTCATGGTCACCATCGCCTATGCGCTACCGGTCATCCAGCCCACGTACACCTTCAAGGCAGCCTGGTCATCGCTCTCCAAGTCCACACCCGGAAAACTGAAGCAAGCGACCTGTGGAGGTGAGGCCGCTGATAACGTCAGTTACGAAGATCCTCCAATTTGGTTTGAGGGTGATGACGGTGTATTACCGGTAGATGGGTGCAGCAACGAAAACGTTACTTCAGATTTGCGGTTGAGAATGGAAGGTTGGGAGCTGAATGCCTTAGTCGACACCGGTGCTGATTACTCAGTGATAAGTTACAAGATGGGGAAAAAGCTAAACAAAGTTGTGACACCGTGGAGTGGATCGCAGATACGCACGGCAGACGGCCACATTATTACGCCCCTTGGCAGATGCACTGCAAGACTTGAAATACGGGGCTTTATTTACGTGGCCGATTTCATTGTGCTGCCAGATTGTTCAAGAGAACTCATTATAGGAATGGATTTTTTGTGAGCTAATGGCGCCGTAATTAACCTGCGTAGGTGCAGCGTGTCGTTTTCGACTGAACGAGCTATACCTGTGGAGGAATCTGAGGAACGACGCCTAACTGCTCTACGCGTTGTTCATGATGGCGTAACTGTGCCGCCACGCTGCAGTATAATGGTGCTCGTAGAAAATGATGCATTGTACAACCGCGAAGGCATAGCGGATACAAATGTAGGACTGTTTTTGAACAAAGGTGTCTGCGTAGCTAGGGGTCTTGTTCACTTGACGAATGGCCGTGCAGATGTACTACTCACAAATTTCTCCAATGAGCTTCAACACATCGCTCAAGGCACGGCTATCGCCTATTTACACGACTTCTGTATGGCGACTGAACTATGCAGCTTAACGACATCAACCACTCAACCAGTGGCCTGCAACATCGACACATCCGTGACCGTCAATCAGAGCCTTCCGGACAGTCAGAAGAAACAGATTTACGCCTTGGTAAAAGAATTCTCTGATTGCTTTTCAAGTACCTCGAAGGTCCAGCGCACGTCAATCATGAAACACAGAATCATAACGCAAGACGACACGAGGCCTATATGCCAGCATCCATATCGGGTGTCACAGAAAGAACGGGAAATTATCAAGAAGCAAGTGGAGGAGATGCTTTCTGATGATGTCATCCAGCCTTCGAATAGTCCATGGGCGTCTCCCGTAGTGCTCGTTAAGAAGAAAGACAACACACTTAGATTCTGCGTCGACTACAGAAAACTGAACAGTGTAAATAAACGAGATGTCTACCCCTTGCCACGTATCGACGATACACTAGATCGGTCGCAATCCGCAAAGTTTTTCTCCTCCTTAGATCTGGAAAGCGGATATTGGCAAATAGAGGTCGACGAGCGGGACCATGAAAAAACGGCATTCGTAACACCAGATGGCCTCTACGAATTCAAAGCGCTTCCATTCGGCCTCTGTTCCGCACCAGCGATGTTCCAGCGAATGATGGACACTGTCCTCGCCGGATTGAAATGGCAGTCATGCCTAGTGTATTTGGATGACGTGGTGGTATTCTCTGCAACGTTCGACAAACATCTAGAGCAACTACGCACAGTATTGAAAGCCATCCGGTTAGCGAAATTGACAATCAAACCCGAAAAATGCCACTTCGGCTTCGAAGAGCTGCGATTCCTTGGACATGTCATTAGTTCCGAGGGTGTTCGTCCCGATCCCGAAAAAACAGCCGCTGTTCAGAGGTTCCCTACACCCAGAGACAAAAAGTCAGTGCGTCGGTTTTTGGGTTTATGTGCCTATTATAGACGATTTGTGGAAAACTTCTCAAAGATTGCGGAACCTCTTACAAAACTGACAAAAGACGACATGCCCTTCACGTGGGAAAGCGAACAACAGAAAGCTTTTGACGAATTAAGGAAACGACTACAGGGTTCACCAATACTTGCCCATTCTGATGAGGCAGCTGACACAGAAGTCCATACCGATGACAGCAATGTCGGCCTCGGCGCCATCCTTGTCCAGTGGCAAAATGGTCAAGAGAAAGTGTTAGCCTATGCCTGCCGCAAACTATCAAAAGCTGAGGCAAACTACTCTGCAACTGAAAAAGAGTGCCTCGCAGTCATCTGGGCCATAAACAAGTTTCGACCCTACCTTTATGGTAGACCGTTCAGAGCTGTCAGTGACCACCATGCTCTATGCTGGCTGGCAAATCTCAAAGACCCGTCAGGTCGACTAGCAAGATGGAGCCTTAGGCTGCAGGAGTATGATATTACGGTCGTGTACAAATCGGGAAGGAAACACAGAGATGCCGACTGCCTGTCACGCTCTCCCGTCGATCCAAGTGTACCTGAAGAGGAAGACTTCCCGTTTCTAGGCGTTGTCGACACATCCAAAATCGCTCAACTACAACGAGATGACCCGGATTTGCTGGCACTTATACAACACCTGCAGGGTCTCGACGTTCAAGTCCCTCGCATATTCTCCAGAGGGCTCTCCGCGTTCTGCCTTCGAGGAAGTGTCCTTTACAGGAGGAACTTCGAACCAAATGGTGAAACGTTTTTACTAGTCGTGCCCACAGCCATGCGAGAGGAAATTCTGCACGCATGCCACGACGAGCCAACATCTGGACACATGGGTGTGAGCCAAACATTCGCCAGGATTTGCCTGAAATACTATTGGCCTAAGTTGCTCGCATCTGTGCAGCGCTACGTGAAAACTTGTCGTCAATGTCAACGGCGCAAAACTCCACCCGTAAAACCAGCCGGCCTTCTCCAGCCAATAGACCCTCCAGATGCCCCATTCCAACAAGTCGGCATAGACTTCCTAGGACCTTTGCCGACATCGCGTGCAGGCAAGAAATGGATAGTCGTAGCCACAGACTATCTCACCCGTTATGCTGAAACTGACTCTCTATACAGTGCGACAGCTGCCGAAGTCGCCAAGTTCTTTGTGAACAACATAGTGCTCAGACATGGTGCGCCCATCGTCGTTATTACGGATCGGGGCACCGCATTTACTGCAGACCTAATGCAATGCCTGATGCGCATGACAAATACCGATCACAGAAGAACAACGGCGTATCACCCTCAGTCAAATTGCTTAACCGAACGCCTCAACAGAACTCTGACCGACATGCTATCAATGTATGTTGATGTTGAACATAAACAGTGGGACGAAACATTACCCTACGTAACATTCGCATATAATACAGCCGTTCAAGAAACAACCCACGTTGCCCCTTTCGAACTAGTATTCGGCCGAAGAGTGACCACCCCGCTGGATGCCATGTTACCACTACAGGACGAAAGCAGCTATCCACCTGACTTAGATGACTTCTTGCAAAGAGCCGAAGAAGCACGGCAAATGGCAAGATACCGAATACGCCACCAACAGCACGTCGATTCTAGTCGCTACAACAAGCGACGCAGTGACACACTTTATCATCCCGGTGACAAAGTGTGGATATGGATACCAGTGCGCCGCCGCGGACTTTCTGAAAAACTTCTTTGCCGATACTTCGGCCCGTATGAAGTACTCAACCGTATCAGCAACGTCACTTATGAAGTTAGATCCGCTGGACACGTGAGTTCAAGACGCCGCAATCCCACGGAAGGGGTCCACGTAGTCCGCATGAAGCCCTATCATGACAGATCGTCGAAAAACGAGTGAGAGTGCGCGTGTATCTTTTCACTGTCTTAAGCATCGGGACGATGCGTCTGAGGAGGGGGCAATGCTGCGACAGGTTCGCCACATTCAAGTAGCCCGCCACAATCATCGTCCTCAGCACCAGCAAGACCCGGCTCGGCTGGCATGCGCCACGCGTTCGGACGTTCAACAACGAGGAAGAGGAAGATAGTCGGATCTGTGCCACTCGGCTACTCGAACTTGACGACCATAGTTTTTAGATTCGTGGGCACAAGTTCGCCCTAATAAAGACGCTTGTTTTTTTAACCTGTCGGCGTCAGCATCGCTACAATATATATATATATAATATATATATATATATATATATATATATATATATATATATATATATAATATATATATATATATATATATATATATATATATATATATATATATATATATTCACAATATTCTACATTTCTCGCTTATATGACACAGGTTGCAGGTAACATGCAACCGAAATCCAATTGCTTGGGTTAAATAAAGGCTAAATGTAAGTCATTTTTCAACTACGCTTATACAAGTTAAAGAGCATAAAAAAGTGTGAGCAATCTGGAATTGTGAATGAAAGCGTATTATTCAGGCACTGACTCCGTTGTATAGACACCGATAGCCTTTGTTATCACACATCTCGTTTTCACTAGATTACACCTAATATCACACATCACTATTTTGAGTGGCTGATGCGTTTCAGCTTTCATATAGTGAAATATATAGCCCCTCTTCTCCTTCCCAATAGAACTAGACGAACTAACTTCATGATTAATATTCGGTATGCATATTTCTATAGAATACTTGGTTCGTTCCACGAGAAACGTTGTCTTTCAGCAGTTGCGTGCCTTCCACCACCACTTCCAGTCCACTCGCCTGTGCCCCATGTCGTCGTCTTCAGCTCCCCAACCCCAGTACTTGTTGGAGTATCCGTTGACGCGCAACATCTGTTCCTTTGTAACGGCAGTTACCCCACCGAAAAAGTAGTGGTAGAAAATTCTGAAAAAGTAAACACGCAGGCAAAAAATTGTTGATATCTTCATGCTACGCACAATTATGCACAAAGTACAGCTAAAAGAATTGTGCTCTCTTTCTCACTGCATGCAAATGATACATCGTTATAAAGAGCTTTCCAGTAATCTTTCTGCAAGTATATTCAAGCGGTCTTTTCGCGAACCTAATCTGACAGCCTGAATGATATCAGTCACTCAGCTCATAGTTTTCAGAAACTCAGCCATTTAGGCGAGTTCAAAGAAATGCCTGCTGAAGCTGTACCACTAAGTGAACCCGCGATGGTAGCAAGAACCTCCCAGTCGCGAACTGATACTCTCCAAAGTAAGCAGTCTCCGGACAGTTATCGCTGATATTTACTCAAAGATACCAGTTGCTCGCAGGTTTCGTCTGAATGTGTTGCCGTGTTGAACGACTGGTATGACGTCACATACGTAATGAATATTTACATTATACAAAAGGGCAGCGCCCAATCATGAAATTAATAAAGAAAAAAATTACCATCCAAGCACTCCATACATATGCTTGACCATCGAAAGCTGAAACATGCACGGCCACAGTACTTATCAGCGTTTTCAACACGATGCTGCACTGAAGTCTTTAATCATTAGTGATTACGTGTTCCTGCGTCCTAAAGAGGTGAGAAACACGTTTAACTTGGGTTTACCACAAAGTTTATTTCGCATGCATCACAATGTCCATCGCATGATCGCGGTCATGGAGGAGTGTAATGAGTGCTTAAATGCGTTTGGCAATGTGTAATCACAGTGGTTGTTCTCAAACCAGAAGCGGTCACAGACCTCGCAGCCGACACCAAGGTGCCGCTAGAGAAACTCCCATCGAAAACGGGCGTTCGTCGCGACAAACACGCTCCCGCAATCATCACGTCGACGTGGTTGTGCCCGGCGCGGCGTTGTTGCGAGCGTTTGACATCACGAACTTAACTCGGCGGCCTGGTTTGTAGGACTCAGCCCGCTCCCGGTGCTTGCATTCCCAGTTCGCAATTTAGCGTGGCTTGGAAGGCTTCCCGGCCAGTTCATGCGCCCGAACTACCCCATCCGCCCGGCAAATGTTAGCCCTGTCATGCTTCCGCTGTATGTGCGTCCTTCGAGAGTTGGCTGTGACTTACCCATGTAGAAGCTCTCAGTAAAAAGCGATGCACACGTTCGCGGCGCCAAAGCTGCGACGGGAGAAACGCTGTCATTCACAACGCAGCCAACAGCGCGTGTTCTTCAGCCCGACACTAAGAACGACATAACTGATGTCACAGCCAATAGAAACCGCTCGTGACACTAACGCCTAATGGTTTCTCGCTTCTGCTTTAGCCATATTCTGCTTTCGCTGTGAAACGTTTGACTTCTCAGGGTCTCGAATACGCTTGAACCACTTGAACAGTGTCATATACTTAAAAACGTGTACATCAATCTGAGGAGCAGCATCTGCTAACGGAATAAGAAAAAAAAAAGCGTATGAAGTCTTGTGTTGTTAAATTATGCCGCCAGCTGCTCGAAAAGTTATTTCAGGGCTCAATAAAGACCTCTAGTATACAATGTATGAACCATCTCCCCAAAAGGAACACTGATGGGATGCGAAGCAGCAGTGGTGCGCAAGGCGTTGACCCGGTTGAAACAGGCGTTGACAAGACTGCTGGACGATTAGTTTAAAGTGAAACCCGGTGTAGTGTTTACTCGAGTAAACGTTCGTTCGAAGTGCAAGTACACGGGATGCGAATGGTTTTTTATAAGTTTCATCGCCAATACTCGAGCCGAAAGAGTGTTTCCACTCGACGTGCTGTGGAGCGTTGCGGGCGCTAGAGAGAGTGAAGCCAGGGAGAAGTGCGTTACGAGCGGGCGGAGGAGCCGGCAGCTGCGGGCGCTGCGGTGAGCGTGCTGCGGGTGAAGAACAGAGTGATTGCAGCGCGCACCTGCGAAGTATGCATACGAGGGGAGCGTGACGTCAATGCCCAGCTGCGGCGTGACCTACTTGGCATTTAACTTTGCATCGCTACCAACATCTAGTGGCGAGGAGAACGCGTTTCGGCGCTTTCGTACGAACGCACGGACGCATAGTATTACACACGTGAGTCCAAACAGCTGCTTCGCATCTAAACAAGGTCACAGTTTTCGCTGCAATCGCGAAGCAATGAATGCGATAGCAAGAAATTGGAATGTGCCATGAAGAACAACAGGCAGCTCCAAACTTGCAGCGCACAAGCTGAAGCAAAAATGACTCTCAAAAGGAGCGCAGAGGTACACATAAGGCAAACGTGAACAACTCTCCCAGTAGTTAGGCCTTTGTGTTTGAGCAACGAGCTCCAAGTTTGAACAATGCAGAAACCAACGCTCAAAATGATCAAACCTCAAATTGCCAAGCATTTCTTTGCGTACCGCAAGCACTTTTAGCGTCTATCTCTGTATCTATCTATCTATTCAGCCGCATACATCTGGGTGCTCTCGGGATCACTCCGTTAACTTGGCATGATCCAAAAGTGGTATGGGAGGGTAGGATAGTTTGACGAATATGACGTGCTGGTGAAGACATGAATAATGTCACAATCATGTTGTGTACGTCGTCAATCACTTCCCGACAAACAGTGGCACATACCCGCCGTTGGGCATGTGCCACTAGTATGCGGAAATGTGCACAGGTGATAGAAAATATCTACCTTGAATGACGAGGACACACAGGAAAATTTTAACACGTGAGTGTTAGGAAAAACGTCACATTGGCAGCAGTGACCTGACATTTGCAAAGAATAAATGTCAGGGTCCCATCAGGAATCGAACCCAAGCAATCTGCGAGGCAATGAAGCATTCTATTACAAAGCCATGCCAGGTCTTGAAAGTAGTTTTTCAAATAGACTCATTATAATGCTCGTGAAATGTCAATTGTGGTTGCCATGCTGGCTATTCAATTTTATAAACGTTACATGGGTGCCCTTGCGGTGCATCCATGACGTCGGGTTAACGTCAATTGTAGTTAGGCGCCACGCACTGAAGTTTATTTATGTAGCAGCCTCATAATCTATCATCCTCACAAGCACCAGCGCTTCATATAAGTTTATCGTTCCTGGTGTTGCTACTACTCATGTTCCTGTCGACATCGTTGAGCAGGTAGAAACGCGTGGTTATATAGGCATCTGCAACTCTTCAACATAGGTCTGTGCGTGCAACAATTGCAGATATATTTGTGATCATTTCATAACGACTACACGCTGGCCCATAGTGCGCTCGCGGCCATTTCGTAGCTTCACACATACTAAATTTGGCGTTACAAGACGTGAGTAGATGACGAAGGCTATATGGGTGGCGTAAACATGATAGTCATGATATACGTGTCATGTAAGAACATGACTACATGCCATGCTGGTGATGCGCTCGCGGCTGTTTCGCTAGCTTAACATATCCCACATTTGGTATTACGTGACGCGAATGCACGACGAAGGTATACGAAAGGTCTTAACGTGATAATACTTACATGCGTGTCACGTAAAACATGACTACATACGACGCTCATAGCGCGCTCGCGGCCGTTTCGCTAGCTTCACATATACCATAATCGGTATTACGTGATGCGAATGTACGACAAGCACAAATTCCAGGCGAAAACATGATGATCATGATATGAGAGGCATTTACGGCATGATTTACGTCTACCTCATAGCATTGTGCTGATTTGAATGTCAGCATTCACCCTTCCTCATTCGTACTTTCTATATCATCGATTCCCAGTGTACGTGGAATATACCAATTTTTTTCGAACAATGCTCTAACGTATTGTCGCGAGAGCAAGGTTTCCAGCTCCAGTACCTTCTCAGGAAATTTGTGCAAAACCAACTCCTCTGCTTCTTTTTTAAGTCTTTCTTTGTACTCTTCTACCTTTGGGTTTGTTTCTCTTGCCATTACAGAGCTTCGGCTTTTGACTTTAATAGAATGTGGGATAAATCGTGTTTTCCAGCCTGGGACAGGCGCCTACACGCTGCATTTACGGCTTACAAACGGAGCAGTCAAGGTCGCCCCCGTTCGGGATTAGAAGGGGAAAGCTTACTAGGAAAAGCGTCTAGCAAGAGGCAGGTCCGGCGCCACTGTCTGAGTCTAAGCCATTGTTAACAGGCACGCGTGTCATTGAGAATGACATGGGGACGCGACCACTTAGCCTGACCGAGACATAGTGGCGGCAGGTAAACGACCATATTCTCTCGCGCTGTTGTTAGGATGTCGGGGCGCCTCGCTGTCGCATATACACCTGGTAAGCAATGGTGTACCCATCGCTCTTAAGGACGCTTCTAGGAAGCAACAGTTAATGAAAGAACTTACGGGGCCCGAGCGTGGGAACGGCCGCCGACGACAGTCGGCCCAAGGAGGCGGCACGGCCTGGTATGGGAGAGAGTGTCCCGTGCGGAGAACTTATCCCTTTGCGTGTTTCATTTGGTAAGGAGGTTTTTACAACTGTAGTGCCTTTTATGAAAGTGTTTCTGTGATTGGTTGAGATGCTGCGAGTCCGAACATGTGATTGGTTTTTGTGAAGACTCTTTGTTCGACCAAGGGTTAAAAAGAGGATGTTTGAACTTGAAAAGTGAGCGGAGTCGGGGTAAACAGCGGATCTCACCACGGGAGACCAGGCCATGCAGGCCGTGGGGTATGTCACTATTTTCTATGTTTTGTCTGTGTGACCCAGTGCATTTTGTAAATTGAAGTTGTGTTAGCTAAATAAACCCCCAATGAGTGCTCCCCGAAATCATCGTGTTGACGTCTCATCGATTGCCTCCGCGGAGTTTCACCCACACTTATTCGTCTCCCTGGTCGTCCGATGCGCCTAACTTTGAACAACCCCGACGTTTCGCTACAAAGTGGTGGAGGTTGCTCGGTAACGATAGTCCCGCTCCGAAATTATGCCCCGAGTCAACAACAAGTATAAGGAACCTACCTCTGACAGCTCCACTATGACGGAACCCCATACCTTCTTCTCTGCTATGCCTACCCCCCAAG